CCCTTTCCAGTGTGCCCTCAGACTCCACCTGTGGCCAGAAGCCCCTTCATGAAACATGTCCAAGGATCTGCGCATCTCAAAGATATGATTCTTTCTGCAATTATTTTACAGACGTGAGTGAGCCTATGTGCCAACTGTCTCACAGCAGCTGCTGTCAGGCATTCACAGAGCTACATCCCAAACATTGAGCAGTCGGCCTGCTGTTGCCCTGGATGTGAGCAACTCGAAAATGTTGCTTAAAATGTTCCTCAGCCAGCGAAGCTGGGAGTTGAACTCCACAAGTCTTAAAGTTGCCGCGGTTGGAGGTTGCTTAGGAGGTCAAAAATGCTTTGGCCAACCTTCTGCCTTTTTAGCCTTTTGGCTTTGGGGAAAACGAGGTCTAAGCAACACATGCAGTGCTGTGAAATTGCTCCTCAGCATAATCCTTTGCTTATCGTTGTATAGGTAGTCCTTGATGTACAACCACAGTTGAGCCCCAAATTTCTGCTGCTAAGCGAGACATTTGTTAGCTGAGTTTTGTTCCATTTTACAACCTTTCTTGCCGCAGTTGTTAAGAGAATCATTGCAGTTGTTCAGTTAGCAACATGGCTGTTAAGTGAACTTGGCTTCCCCATTGAATTTGCTTGTTAGAAGGTCACAAAAGGGCATTGCGTAACCCCGGGACACTGCGGTCGTCATAAATATGAATCAATTGCCAATCACCTGAATTTTGATCACATGACCATGGGGAATACTGCAACAGTTGTAAGTCTGAGAAAAATGGTCATAAGTCACTTTTTCAGTGATGTTGTTCCTTTGAACAGTCACTAAATGAACTGTTGTAAGTTGAGGACTACCTGTACTTCCACAGCAAGCAATTCAAAAGGTGCCCAAAAATGCTGAGCCTTGCATGAAATGCGCAAGGACAGAGCATGGATCCAAGGAGACTCTGGGTTAGAAATATCTGAAAGCTGATGAAATGTTCAACACGGACACCAAAGCCTGGCTGGATTTTGCACCAGCCAAGATGGGTTGGTTATTTCCCAGCTCTGGGCTGGTGCAGCCCTTATTAGGATGTCTCCTTATCTTCTCTGGCGAGCATCATGGGCAACGGAGTAGGCAGAGGAAGAGGAGGAGGAGGACGCTGCAGGCTAGGGAGGTTGTGAGTGGACGGCATTTGCGATCGCAGCACAGAAAGCAGGGAACTCATGACGGACCCCCCCAGGCTGCCAGCTGGATCTCAGCAGAACCTGAAGAGACCCGAATCCAGATCCTAAAGTGATTGGCATTCAGTTCCCAAGCCCCCTGCCCTGCTCAGGTATCTCTGCAGGCGGATCTTTGCAGGAGGTTTAAGCCTCTCTCCCGTCTCGAAGGCAACGACTTAAAGGCTTTTCTGTTCAGTGTTTTTTACTTAACATTTACTTGGCGCTAAAAGCTCTTGACCTGGGATTAACAGCTCCAAGGACTTACTTGTTGAGCACGTTGAACTGTCACTAATTTGGGCCCATTTGTTTTCCTCTAAAGGTTTCCAGGCTTTGTAGGAGCCTGGGAGGAATTGTACAAGGTGCCTCAACTAGACAGGTGCATTAACAGCACAGTGGGGAGGAAGT